TACATGTCCGTTCCACCAGGTGAGTGCTTGATCCACAAAAGTGCAGGCTGCGAACTTCACCTTCATGTGCTCAGGGCAGTCGCATATCTCGAATACCGACTCCACCTTTTCGATCCATCGCTTAGAGTGATCACCCTCCAGTGCCATTAAAAGTTCGTGGTTTGGCGTTTGTGAAGTCCTTGTAGGTACATGTCTTGGTGGGTCCTTGATTCATTCCATTGTTTGAACTTCCGGCTCCTTGCCCATTGACTCCTCCATTGTTCCCTTGTTGAATTTGCGCAATCGCTGCAGTGACTGCTGCAGATACAGCTGCCTGGAAAGCGGCTGAGTCAACTTCAGGTGGGGTTGGTCCTGGGTTTCCGCGAGCAGGTCGGAGGAGCATCTTTCTGTCACAATACGGAAAGATGTTGAGGGTATGTTGTTTCGGTGAGGTCGTGATCCTACTGACTAGGTGCATGGTACGAACTTAAACACTACTACCATTGACCAATCAATAATAATATCTCAACACATAGCAATTTGCAATATCGTAATAAAACACGTAAAAATTTATTAATATTATCCGCATTTGATACATGAAAATTTGCTCGTAGGAGCATACATGAGTGATACTAGTTCGACAGCATAACGACTCTATGAGTAGTGTAGTCACTTAAACATAGAGTCGGAGTACATAGCATATTTCCTAACGACCTACTATGATAAGTCTATCCCTAACCGCGATGAGTTGCGCCTGGAGGTGGTGCCGAGGATGTGGATGCTCCCTGAAGACGAGCCACCAAGCGTTCTGCGTCCCGAAGTCGAGACTCCCACCGAACCTGCCTCATGTGAAACTCTCGAAGGACGTCACGCGTCTCCTGCTCCGCACGCTCGACCCTAGTCCTCAACTGGCGCACCTGATCCGCAGTGTCCTGGGCAAGGTCGCCCGTATTCCGTAACCGTTTCACCATGACTGGAAGGGCTCGATCAGCCGGTCCTCCGTCTCTCAGGTCAAAGAACTCGCGTGACATGCCATACGGGGGTCGCTGTCCCTGCTGTCTGCTCCATCTCCAAAGATCAATACCCCAGGGAGGTGTAGGACCAGTGGGGCCTACGCGATAGGCAGGCACCCTGATCGGGTAAGGGGGTTGATGACTTCGGACTCCGCATCCGAATCACCCCTTCTCCATCATCAGCATCCTCCTCGAGGCTTCCTTCATCTTCCTCTGATTCGGCAGGCTCGCCCTCAACTTCGGCCTCCGGTTCCCCGTCAGATTCCTCTTCGGGGTCTTCCTCAGGCTCTCCTCAGGCTCTTCCCGGGCTCCTCCTCTAACCATCCGTTGTTCCCCTGGTTAGGGAAGTAGGGGTCTCCAGGGTGATGAAAACCAGCCATGCGGTCTGCGAGAGTGTGTAATTATGCTAACGTTATTCCTAGGATGCTACAATTATCGCATAGATCAAGTAGGCGTTCTCTTTTCGGTGGTAGGGTATAGTTTTAGATTCCCTAGAAATCCCGATCTCATCAGGACGTGTGTTAGTTTACTTTGGAGAGAATGTAGTTGATCAGGCTGCATTCACTCCTTGGTACACTAAGAACAGTCCCGAATTAACCGAGACACTAGTATTATTTTTGTTTGGTTCGGCGTTATGTTCCTATTCCTAGTGCAACAAGGGTGTTTTATTTACTTGTTTTGTTCAGAGTTATGTTAGTCCCTCTTTTTGGTTTATAGTTGCATATCCATGTGTGGCTAGATATGCTAGTTCACTATAAACAAAGCTCTGATACCAACCTGTCACACCCCCGAACCAGACGGCGGAAACGTCCGAGGGCTATCGTGACTCATTGAATACCATCACAATATACATGCATATACATGAAACATAACATTATACATCACCAACATTTGGAATGATACAACTGGTAAGTTACATTCATTACATTGTTCAAAACATTACATTCTCAAAAAAATAACTGTTTGATACTACTTAAACCACAGCAAAACGTCATAGAGTACAAATCATCCTTCACCTTATCTGTTACCTGAGAATACAAGTATTTTGAAAACGTCAACATATGAAATGTTGGTGAGTTCATAAGTAGTGTTTGAAATCCAATGTATTGTTTGAAAACCATCAGAAAATCCGATATTTTCTAAAAATAGAATAGTGTAAAAATATGTGATGATCCATGAGTATGCTTGTTTGAATTCTATAGATGTAAGCGTAAGAGTTGTGAAATTCGACCGGTAATTCATAATTGTAATTGTTGAAAACCCTAGGAAAACCCGACGTTTTCCTATCACTTTGCTTTACTTAGTTTGTGTACCGTTGTTTCGTTGCGTTAGAGGAAACCGTTGAGCTCCGGAGGCATTGAGAATACAGTGGGTGGTGAAGTGTTGTGACGTGCGTTAATGAAAACGTCCAATCGACAACCTTACAAGCGATCCCTTAGGCGTCACTCGTAATTCTTCACACAACTCAATCCTCCCGGACTTGTGTAGTCCCACGACCGGAGGGAAGAAGAGAAGGTGCGAAACCCTCGGTATTTCCCCGCGTCGTTCAAGACCATTGCAATTGCGAAGGGCCCGAAGCCCAACCCGCAATCGTGAGTTACAGACTTTACTAGCAGCACTGAAGGACCCTTGGGGACCAGCAGCATGTTTGCCATTGAAAGTCCTTTTACGTTATGTCGGATCGGTAAAACCCAACACTTCGTAAGAGAGAGGTCTTCGGGCCTTAAGATCAGGTCATTGGGCTAGCTAGGCTCAACAAACAAGATTTTACACTTTTGGGGCCCAAAGATGGTGCGTAGACGTCTGTGCACACTCGCATGTATAGTGACTTCCCAATCGTTATTAGTTATGAATCGTAATGTCGTAGTGTCGTCGTGTTAGTAGTTTCGGATTTTTATTGGTTCGAGACCGAACCAATTCGTTTGACAACGAC